CCACACCAGTATTGCCCAGCATCCACAGAATGAAGATCAGAGATGGTTGCTGTGAAGATTCGTGCGGTTTTGTCATCATGGATCCTGTATTTGTGTTTCACTGGATTTGATGTTGTAATAAGAACATCAGAATTGCCACAGTCATTCTTGCACAGGTACTTTTCATATGATTCATAACCCTCATCATAGGAGCAGAAAACGTTAACCATACTCCCCAAATATCCAGTCACATGGATCACCTCCACTGCAGTGGTCACACATCTCAGAGCGACTGTAGAAATAATGTGAAAACATTATGCTTTGTCAGCTTTCATACGAGTAATGTAAGTGCTTTTTTATAAGAAATAAACAAACCCAACAGAGTGTGTGGCGGAGTGTGCTCCATAATTCTAAAACAGATAAATGTACTATTTAATCTACACCTGCCTTTAATCTTTGTATGTTCACTTATCTAGTCATTTAAACAACTTACTGCAGAAGGTAAACAGCAGGTTATGAAGGCTCCACATCTTTCCTTTGGCTCATCTAAATAGAATTATGCGCACACAGTGGTCATGTCAGGCAGAACTAGACTGTCAGCACATAGGGGATGGAACATTTTAGATGGCCCTTCCTTTAAAGGCGTTTCAATTATTTGTCTAATAGCTGACATGTGCCATCTAGTGGTGAAAGTATTTAGAAGCATTACGTAAACAACACAATGAAAAATTCACAAAAAGTATATTTTGGAAACTATACTTAAAGAATTGAAAATCCAACACCTTCAGTACAGAAAAATGACCCATTTGAGGTTTATAATTTCTTTTTATTATTACTCATGTATTAATATGAAAGCAATATTAATCTGCTAATTGTGCTTTGGAAATGTTTTAATAATTGATCACCATATTGGTTTATTCTCCCTTACAGAAGCCTGTTTAAAGCAGGAGGACTATATTAGATTGAAAGAACAGCCATGAGTCGCACTAATTTTCAGAATCGTTGAAGCACAGGGCTGGGGAGGTGGTGTGAAAATTTTAAAATAAACTACAAACACCTGGTGAGGGTATTTTTTGAATGGGTTTAATCACACGTTGCAACATGGAGATTGCACTCTGGTCAAATACCAAAGTGGTCTCTGAAAATGGATGCCACACTGGTCTCTTATATACAACACACAGAAAAAGATATTCCACAACTCAACATGTTGCCAGCACATTATCTCACATGCATATACGTTTAGCTCAGTTTATCCTTGAAACCAGGAGAATTACGACCATGCTGTCACCTCCCTACCTCACAGAGACGAACACCAGGCACCCAATGCCTATCTATCCAACATCCTGGATGTCTCTGGCCTACTCACACTGTGTGTGGAAACACAGATGTGAAGCTTTCCTATATGTATATAACTATGTGACAAGGTGATACTACTATTACTAAAGGATGAAAGGCTGACACTTAGCCTTGTACGCTCTAACTGAAAACTCAAAAATCAGCTTTATGTTTAGAATCTATCATTCTCATGGCTTTTACTTAAATGTTCTATTTGAATAGTTATTCTTTTATCTGATTTTGTGTGGACGTCAAGTAAATGCATCACTTTGTAAAACATGCTTTCTGCTACAGTCATTTCACAATTTCACAGAAAGATTCTAAATCATCTTTTGTTAAAATGAAAAATTTAATTTTCTTTCTTTTCTCCCCCCCCTGTCCCGTTTGGAGCTCCTCTCTGCCTATGCTCCAGGAAAAACCACGAGGTCTAGCTCAAAACTAATGCTGTCCATCCCTTCATCCGCTTTATCCGAGGCCGGGTCGCGGGGGCAGCAGCCTAAGCAAAGAGGCCCAGACCTCCCTCTCCCCAGCCACCTCCTCCAGCT